CGCTTGAGGCTCACGGCGTATCAGTGAAGGATTGGATACAGGGTATGATATGTCATTATTGTATGACATAGAGTATAGAGAGACGACATATACTCCGAATGTTATTCTGAAAGTCGGAATTCGAAAAACAGTCGAGGAGTGATTGAGATATGACTTATGGGTCTAGCATGGCAGGTTGTACAGGCTTTCCTCAGTGCCCTAATTGTTACGGTCGCGCGGGCGAGGACTAGCGGGCGCGGAGTCGCGGACAAGAATAGACACCTGTACCTCACATCAATCAGGCCGGCTTAGCCCGTGGCACCGGGGGGGGTGGCCCGGGTCAAGTAGACCTGAAACCGTGCTCCCCCGCACGTTTGAATAATTCGTCCAATAAACCCGAGCTGTTTCCCAACAGGGAAGTGCTCGAACGCCCTCCCTCCCAAGTCCCCCAGCCCATCACGTGTCCCCATCCTCCAGATCTCCCATCAGTCCGCGTTATCTCTCCCGCCCCCACCCGCGTTATCTCCCGCGCCCACGCCTACGTTATCTCCCGCGCCGGCGCCGGCGCCGCGCGCCTCCCTGCCCCGCCACCCGTGCTCGCTGTGCCCGACAGTGAGCTCGCTGTCCCTGCACCCTGCCTCCCCCTCCTCTCCGTTTCCCTCCGTTCTTTTTGTAATCTACTTGTATTCAAAATGCGCACCTAATGGTACACAATTCGATGGCCACACCTTCCTGGGTGTGCCTGCACTGAGCCCTCAAACCTCCCAAAATGTGTGCAATACAGGAACATATACAAGCACTCAAATGATCGGATAAGTCCTGCATCAGATAGTTGTATATGAGAGCTGCTCTATCATAAAATCGCAGGTGGATAGCTAGAGGGGTGCAGGTATGATGTCATATGTTATTTCAGAATGACATACCCCACAGTGACATGGTATATGCATATATCGTCTTATGTACACCCCGAATCGTACCTAGAGGTCATTCAGAGCGCGTTTCAAAAAGAAGCAAGTGAATAAACAATGTCGTGGTGAGGATATGACATATACACAGAAGGGGGAGTTGGCTCGAAAATGCGGCCTTCATATGTTTTTGTGTAGACCTCTGATCACTTCGCATTTTGTTGCATTACGTTTAAATGTATATGTAGAGCTCAGATCGTCGTTTTGGTGCTTATCGGTGAAGGATTGAAAACAGGAAATGGTATGTCATTATTCCATGACATAGAGTATAGCGAGACAGCATGTGCTCCGATTATCATTCTGAATGGCGGAATAGAACGGGGTGTTCTTCTACTCAGCGATGCAGAAGAAATCTTGAAGAATGGTTGAGAAGTGATTGAGATATGCCATATGAGCTTGAAGTGTGCAAAGTAGCGTAGGTGGTTCAAGGGCGTTCTTTGTGCAACCTGCCATTCTGGACCCATATGGCATATCTCAATCACTTCTCAACCATTCTTCAAGATTTCTTCTGCATCGCTGAGTAGAAGAACACCCCGTTCTATTCCGCCATTCAGAATGATAATCGGAGCACATGCTGTCTCGCTATACTCTATGTCATGGAATAATGACATACCATTTCCTGTTTTCAATCCTTCACCGATAAGCACCAAAACGACGATCTGAGCTCTACATATACATTTAAACGTAATGCAACAAAATGCGAAGTGATCAGAGGTCTACACAAAAACATATGAAGGCCGCATTTTCGAGCCAACTCCCCCTTCTGTGTATATGTCATATCCTCACCACGACATTGTTTATTCACTTGCTTCTTTTTGAAACGCGCTCTGAATGACCTCTAGGTACGATTCGGGGTGTACATAAGACGATATATGCATATACCATGTCACTGTGGGGTATGTCATTCTGAAATAACATATGACATCATACCTGCACCCCTCTAGCTATCCACCTGCGATTTTATGATAGAGCAGCTCTCATATACAACTATCTGATGCAGGACTTATCCGATCATTTGAGTGCTTGTATATGTTCCTGTATTGCACACATTTTGGGAGGTTTGAGGGCTCAGTGCAGGCACACCCAGGAAGGTGTGGCCATCGAATTGTGTACCATTAGGTGCGCATTTTGAATACAAGTAGATTACAAAAAGAACGGAGGGAAACGGAGAGGAGGGGGAGGCAGGGTGCAGGGACAGCGAGCTCACTGTCGGCACAGCGAGCACGGGTGGCGGGGCAGGGAGGCGCGCGGCGCCGGCGCCGGCGCGGGAGATAACGTAGGCGTGGGCGCGGGAGATAACGCGGGTGGGGGCGGGAGAGATAACGCGGACTGATGGGAGATCTGGAGGATGGGGACACGTGATGGGCTGGGGGACTTGGGAGGGAGGGCGTTCGAGCACTTCCCTGTTGGGAAACAGCTCGGGTTTATTGGACGAATTATTCAAACGTGCGGGGGAGCACGGTTTCAGGTCTACTTGACCCGGGCCACCCCCCCCGGTGCCACGGGCTAAGCCGGCCTGATTGATGTGAGGTACAGGTGAGGATAGACGCACCCGTGCGGGAGAGGGATGAATTAGGTAGGCGCGGCCGGCGTAGCCGGGTAAGGACTAGTCTTGGCGCCAGACGCCCTGAAGGCGCCCGCGTGGGCTGAGGAGCTCTCTGCACGGGCGCTCACAACATCAACCGGTTTCTCGCTTATCACACAGCTATCATTTTTGTTATCCATGCCTAAGATCACCGTGTAACATCAAGTAAGTACGTCCACTTATACTTTTCCCTCTCCTTGCACCGTTCTAGCACTGTGAGCGCCTGTGCGGGGAGCTCCTCAGAGGGTCTGGAGCCGAAACTAGGGATTACCCGGGAACACTGATTTATGAAAACGTGAGCTGAGCGGGGGCCCATTCGATATCGAGGATCAAGTGGTGTCACGTTAAGTAGTGACATGGGGGTGACAAGCGCGCTTGCCTAGCTGCACTGCACTTGCGCTTCACCTGTTTGCCGCTCCTCAGCGTCCCCATTGCTGCTCCGTCCCCGCTCCTCCTTCTCATCGCTCCGACGGCTCGATGTGGCGAGGGCTGCACTCGAGCCCGTCTGGGACTGCCTTCAACTCTCCGCCTCCGCCACGGTCCTTCCCCAAGGCATCAAGCTCACCGGAACATCGACCACGACAGGCGGCGACGACGACCTCCGGCTGCGGCGTGGTGTCTGGCCGAGCGAGGAAGTGACATACGCTCTGATGGAGGGGCTCGATGCCCTGACCAGTGAGCGTGTGTCATGTTCCTTGCGCGTCCGCGACGACCTCCACGACGAGGGCCACGGTGAAGACGACGGACGGCTCTCCGGTCCACCCCGCCGACCCTCCAGCGTCCCCTCCGACCCTCCAGCACCCCGCCTGCCCCAAGCGCCGTCGCCGACTTACCGCTGCTCTGTGCCACTCCAATGTCCCCGGTCCTTCCCCCAAGGCATCAAGCCCACCGGAACATCGACCACGACCGGCGGCGGCGACGACCTCCGGCTGCGAGGCGTGGTGTCTGGTCGAGCGAGGGAGTAGTACGCGCTCTGATGGAGGGGCTCGATGCCCTGACCAGTGAGCGTGTGCCATGTTCCTTGCACGTCCGCGAAGACCTCCACGACGAGAGCCACGGTGAAGACGACGGCTCCCCCGGTCCACCCCGCGGACCCTCCAGCGTCCCCGCCTGCCCCAAGCACCGTCGTCAACTTACCGCTGCTCTGTGCCACTCCGGTGTCCCCGGTAAGTGCTCTCGTCTTTGTGTTTGCGATCCTTTGTTCAAACGTTCACGCTTCGCCCCCCCTCGTCCCTCCGTTCCCCTCCAGGCCGTCACCATAAACCGGTCTTCGTTTGTCCTCCACCTAGCGCGCGTTTGCTCCGCGAGCGTCGCGACGCACCTCTATGCACCTTTCCATTCGGTACGTTAGGCCTTCTTCCATGTGTGCACCCGGTTGTTCACCCGGCCTCTACCGCTTCCTGCCTGCCCATTACAGCACAGTTATCCCCACCATCATTCTCGTTCGTTGTTCTCCGTGTCTATTTTGCCTGCGTTGCGAGTTTTGCAGCATTGCTTTGTGTTCTGGTCTTCATTGTTGTTAGGGTCTTAGGCAGCTCAGCACACAAAAGCCGTTTCATCTTGAATACAATTTTTCATGCATTATCTACGAGATCCTCGCACGTGTGAAATGATTTGCCGCAAGCTGTTGCCTGTTCACCGTCGTTTCCGTGACCGACTGCACAGAATTTGGGTTGTCGCGTTGCCTGCTCTCGCCAGATGTGCATCCATTTGGAATGTCTGCCATGTACTGCTTTGACTTCTCACCACGACAATCATGTATCGCCAAAGGACACGCGAAAGGTCAGATTTTGACGACTTCATGCTGCTAACGGGATGTTTCTGTTGCGTGATAGGACAACCCCGAAACCTCTTTGCTTCCTTATTGTCTCATAGGTTTGTTTGTTAGTGCGTTCAGATATATGGCCCTACCATTCCACTCAGGGTGCCCTCACCCTCTACATTCCCAATGTCCAGCGACGATGCCCCCGCCCCATCCCGACTTCAGATATCCACAGGAGTGGGGCATTCTGATCGTGTTGAGCTTGAGTTGGATCGCCTCAGACAAGAAGTTCACCAACTGGTATGTTTGTCCGTTGACCATACGCCTACGAACTTCAACTCCCACGAATAGATGTCAAAAAACTTTTCCGCAGAGGTTGTAAAGAACGTAAGCTTCAATCTGACGCCTCATTGATGATGGTCTCTTTGTTCAAGCCAGTTCCAGATGTACGTCTACGCCACAAAAAAGGGGCAAAAACGCAGGCGGTCCTCCAGCCCAGACGATATGAAAGACAATCGTCACGTGAAACGACCGAAAGGAGAAACGATTGCTCGGGTTCGTCTACCACCATGTTGACTATAGGACCATTCTCATTATCCATCATAGATGTTGATACATTTCACTCCGGAACAGCTACAGAAGGTTAGTGCACGGCTCTGCTCACCGAGCTCGTGTAATGACCCATCGCCAGCTCTACTTCAAGCTTGGTTCATTCGGGCCACCGTCCCTCGAGCAGCCCGGCCCCGTTCTTCCCGCACCACCGTCCTTCGAACAACCCGGCCCCGCCGCTCCCCTGCAGCCCGGCCCCGTTCTGCCCGCCGCTCCCCTGCAGCCCGGCCCCGTTCTGCCCGCCGCTCCTTTGCAGCCCGTCCCCGTTCTGCCCGCCGCTCCTTGGCAGCCCGGCCCCGTTCTTCCCGCACCACCGTCCTTCGAGCAACCCGGCCCCGCCGCTCCCCTGCAGCTCGGCCCCGTTCTTCCCGCACCACCATCCCTCGAGCAGCCCGGCCCCGTTCTTCCTGCACCACCGTCCCTCGAGCAACCCGGCCCCGCCGCTCCCCTGCAGCCCGTCCCCGTTCTGCCCGCCGCTCCTTGGCAGCCCGGCCCCGTTCTTCCCGCACCACCGTCCTTCGAGCAGCCCGGCCCCGTTCTTCCCGCACCACCGTCCTTCGAGCAACCCGGCCCCGTTCTTCCCGCACCACCATCCCTCGAGCAGCCCGGCCCCGTTCTTCCTGCACCACCGTCCCTCGAGCAACCCGGCCCCGCCGCTCCCCTGCAGCCCGTCCCCGTTCTGCCCGCCGCTCCTTGGCAGCCCGGCCCCGTTCTTCCCGCACCACCGTCCTTCGAGCAACCCGGCCCCGCCGCTCCCCTGCAGCTCGGCCCCGTTCTTCCCGCACCACCATCCCTCGAGCAGCCCGGCCCCGTTCTTCCTGCACCACCGTCCCTCGAGCAACCCGGCCCCGCCGCTCCCCTGCAGCCCGTCCCCGTTCTGCCCGCCGCTCCTTGGCAGCCCGGCCCCGTTCTTCCCGCACCACCATCCCTCGAGCAGCCCGGCCCCGTTCTTCCTGCACCACCGTCCCTCGAGCAACCCGGCCCCGCCGCTCCCCTGCAGCCCGTCCCCGTTCTGCCCGCCGCTCCTTGGCAGCCTGGCCCCGTTCTTCCCGCACCACCGTCCTTCGAACAACCCGGCCCCGCCGCTCCCCTGCAGCTCGGCCCCGTTCTTCCCGCACCACCGTCCTTCGAGCAACCCGGCCCCACCGCTCCCCTGCAGCCCGGCCCCGTTCTGCCCGCCGCTCCCCTGCAGCCCGGCCCCGTTCTGCCCGCCGCTCCTTTGCAGCCTGGCCCCGTTCTTCCCGCACCACCGTCCTTCGAGCAGCCCGGCCCCGTTCTTCCCGCACCACCGTCCTTCGAGCAACCCGGCCCCGTTCTTCCCGCACCACCATCCCTCGAGCAGCCCGGCCCCGTTCTTCCTGCACCACCGTCCCTCGAGCAACCCGGCCCCGCCGCTCCCCTGCAGCCCGTCCCCGTTCTGCCCGCCGCTCCTTGGCAGCCCGGCCCCGTTCTTCCCGCACCACCGTCCCTCGAGCAACCCGGCCCCGCCGCTCCCCTGCAGCCCGTCCCCGTTCTGCCCGCCGCTCCTTGGCAGCCCGGCCCTGTTCTTCCCGCACCACCGTCCTTCGAGCAGTCCGGCCCCGCCGCTCCTTTACAGCTCGGGCCCGTTCTGCCTGCCGCTCCTCCGGCCCCGCCACCGTTCTTCAGGCATGCATTACCCACCTCTCCTCCTTGGTCCACAATGTTGTCAGTCATGCCCGCTTTTCCAGCGGCACCACCGTCCTTCGGGCGTATGGGTGCTTTATTGCAGGCTTCGCCTCCGGTCGCGCCACCCTTGGGGAAACCTGCCCCCGTGGTGCCCACATATCTTTCGGTCGCACCGCCGTCACATTTCGCCCCCCCAGCCGTGCTGCCGACCTTCAGGGAGAGCGATTCTCATTGGCCGTCCTATTCTGTGCCCTCTTCCAACCCTCCGATGTCTTCGGATCAATCAGACATAGAGATGGGCGAGGACGGTGGCACTCCCTCCCCTGTAGTCGCTCCCGAAGCCGAGGTCGCCCATTCAATCCAGATGAAAATGCCTGGAGAGGGCAGCACTGGGTCACCACCACATGTACCACGTACTGCCTGTAATGTTTTTCCATTAGTTGGCGCGTCTCAGGGCTTCCCAATCGATAACCCCAAGGGCAAGTTTAAAGCTTCCCATCGCAAATCCAACCGCCCCGATACTCACGGTCGCAGAGGACACACGGCCACTGACAGCGAAGCCGACCAACCCGAAATACACAACAATGGCGATGATGGCGAAGTATGTGCTTTTGTTCGATCGGTTTGGTCTGTGCTTCTGAGCTGACAGGAAATACATTCATAGCGTTCAGAAGAAACTCCTACATGGGCCACAAAGCTTATGGAATTCATCGAAGGCATTGCCGCACAGACGAGTCTCGTTGCTACAACAGTAATTTCGACACGAAAGGACGTGGCTATTGTCAGGTGAGCATGTTGCTGTCATGTTTTTTTTCCTGACTACTCACCTCGAGCAGTCATCGTATCGATTCAGTTGACGAACGCATAGACGAGCTTATCGCTAGCGATCGCGTCAATGACGTGTCAAGCACCATGACACCCCAGGCAAAAAAAGCGGGTCGCCCATCGAAGTCGTCGCCGCAAAAGTGGCCGCCGAATCGGCAGAGCGAGAAAGATATTGTTTCGTCCTGTTCACCGCCCTCTCGTACACGACGAAAGAAGGCCCCTTCGATGGACGATCTAGTCATCATCCCGTTTGACCAACCGGACACACCAGTGGTACGGCAACAGGAGAAGGCGAAGCTACTCACTCTGCAGGTATGGCTGTTTCAACGTGCCATTAGGCCATGCTCACACATCAATCGCATGCAGAGAGCAGTCCGTATGCACGTCGCGGAGCTGTTCGGCGAAAAATCCCCTGAAGAGCTCGCTGACCAGACGGTATCTGATGAAGCGAAGCGAGACTTCCAAAGACGACGGGACTCGTACTTCACAAGAGACACTTTCCAGGTGGATTTCGACGAAAACCAATCTTTGCAACGTTCAAAAAGCTCCCGCTTCAGCTGGAACGAAGGTGCCAAGAAATTTTTCGTCGCGGATGCCTTGAGCGAACTCGCTGGTACTCCGACTGCATCCGTAGTCACAGCAACGTACCTTACTGTGAACTGCGTCGAGGCTGCTTACGACAAGATCATACGCTCATACAGAGATAAAATTTCGGCAGCGAAGAAGAACAGGACCAAACCTGAAGAAGAACTGATTCGGAAGAAAGCCCGAATAACATCACGGCGTGGCACGGTGCGCATACCACCCCAACGTCGTTTCATTTCGTTGACATTATTGTGTAGCTTCGTACGTCGCGCTACAACACTGCGTCCGAATCTGCCAGAATTTCGAAGCGCCATGTGAAGCTCATACTCCGCATTCCTGCGAAATGCATGAGCGACGATGAGTCGGCTTACGAGGATTCGGTGGATCCACATGATGGGAAGAAGACACAACATCTGATCTTCCCTCCGCAGTTCAACATCGTGAATGCCTCCTGGATGAGTGAAGAATTGCGCAATCTCCTCCACTCTATCGATTACGTGGCCCGCACGGGGCACAGGAAGGGGGGAAGTGTACCACGCAAGAGAGCACTGCCGACATCGGGTGCTAATGAGGTCGACAAGGAGGCTCCTCGAGGTCTTCCTAAGTCCTGCTACGATCCCGCATGGCTACGATCTCTGAACGATGGTGAGAAAGACGGACTGAAAATGGGTGACGCGCCCTATGATTTCTCGCTCTATGATGAGCCCAACAGACAAGTGGCGACTATCCGTGGCCATATTTAGGGGAAGACAACGATTCCGATAGCAAAGACAGCGATTCCGATGGCAATAATGAGGAAGAAGACTTCACGGAAGGTGGGGGTATTAGCCTCGTCGTGCATGCCGATGCTAATTGAGACACTTTTAGATATGAACTTTTAGTCCCCAGCGCTGGCGCTATTCCGGTCCACCTGCAGACACCTCAGGGCGCAGACCTACGATGGCTGAGTGTCCATAGAGCCTCCCGACCACACCATTATCTCTGTCTTAAATGCGCTGATACGTCCCTGTCTTCCTGCTTCGGCTACTTCTCTTCCTCTTCGTGTAAAATCCTTTCGTACCTGCATCAATCTTCCCTCACAGTCCTTTGACGCAATCTATGACGCAATGCACTCCTCATAATATTGGCTCGTTTCTCACACTGTTCATGCGTCTACTTTTATCATAACAATTGTGCGCATCGTACCAAACACCTCCGGTGCGAACTAACAACAACCGCGCCTCTACCAATCCACGCGCCGTACCACCCGTGCTCCGACGGTGAGACCACGGCGCGCCCGTTCGAACATCGTCGAAACAGCAGGGCCGAGCCGGAGTGAATGCGTATGGCCGCGGCTGAAGGGTGACGGTTGTCAGCGTAGTCGCAGTCACTTAAAGCCACATACGAACGCAACGAGGACGCGTTTAGGCGGATGTCGAGCTCTCCGACGCACGGCGACCACGCTCAGACGAAGGGGAGGGCGGATGACCTGCTTACAGACGACTTTCTCGGACAGCCCGCTGGCGGCTGGCCTGTCTGCTCTATGCAATTGCGCGTGGAGGAAAAGACGCACGTGATCTCCATGCGCTGGACACGAGGGCGGTGATGATGTGGCATAATAATTAATAAATACGACCCGCCCACCTCTTGTCTGGTTGCCACGTCATAGCTCCTCTCTTGTTCGATTCTCGCTGCCCTTTGATCCAGCAAAATCTCATGATCTCGCAGACTGTTCCGTGTTGCGAACTGCGAAGTTCCAAGGATTTGGTCGCCTTTCAGGGGTTTCCATCTTGTATGGAATGTGCCTCCAACGATCCTGATGGCTGTCGCTTTCAAGGTCGGTATTGTACGTATCTGGATGTTACGACAAATCCTCATCACATTCCATCTCCCAGATTATCGACACGTAGATGGCGAAGAAGTCCTGTTTCACCACACGCACAGCAATGACCCGCACTTTGCAAGAAAATTTGATCGACCGCCGAACAAGTTGGACGTTGGAGCAGTTTGTGTGAGTTCCTGAATGAGCCAGTATTTTGAGTCTCTCTTACGTGAAAGTATCGTCCAGACCGTTGTCATCAAACATCTACTCCCAGTTCTCAAAGCAGAGCTCGATCACATCGGTGGAGTAGCACACAATTACTTCAGGATCGATCCTGCAGTCCTGGTAACCTGCGGTGAGTCCGTCACTATCATGCACCACTGTGATTAATGTTCCCTTGATCCGTAGATGGGTGCTGTGGTGCGCTGTTCGCGCAATCCTGGCAGTGTATAACATGTGGAGCGGAGCTGTGTATTGGCTGCTTCAATCGCCTCCCTTTAGAGGTAATACAACGCTCAAAGATTCGCCTTATCTCGCTCATCACCGCCATTGTCTTCAGTCTCCCGGCATCCTGAAAGATGCCCTGACATGTACCGCTGAACGCTCGCCCTCACACGCTCAGAGCCATTTTCGCCCATACACCCAGTTTACGGAAGAGGAGCTCACCAAGTTGATCGAAGATATGGAAAATCAAGTTCCGGTACTTGACAGGTGACTCGTTCCCAATATGTGTGGCGCCATGTTGACCCTAGTAGTCCAGTGCCTGAAGCTCAGCATCCTACAGACGGAACGCCGTT